TTAAGGAAAAGGAATCTAAGGCCTTTTACTTCTAAATGGAAGGTCATTTTTAAAGGAGCGCTTGGTTCATTGAAAGAGATATTCACTATTTTAGGTTTTACCCACAAAAATGTTCAACTTGTTGTTTTGGGTTTCGGGCGGGAGTTGTCTGTTTTGGTTTTTTTGGTTTTTTTTTTTTTTTTTTTTTTAACTTAAATTAATGAAACTGAATTGAGAGCCAAAATGCATTGGTTTATATTAAGTTCCTCAAAACATTGTGACTCGCTTGGAAGAGATGTTGAGCAAATTCTTGGTGATCTGATATGTAAATGACTTAAAATCTTAAGTTTTGGGGTTCTGAAGCATAGGGATTCAGTGTCTTTGCAGCATCCGTCAGTAGGAACTCCATTCCCACAGGTCAGCTCAGTTCATTCAGGACATGGAAAGGGAGCAGGCTGTCATTACTGGTTGCAGCTATTCCTGCTTGTTAGGAATCAGCAAGGTATATTTTAATCACAACCAGTTCTCATTCTTGCAGACCAACATGGACTGGAGGAAAGGGGGAAAGGAAGCAGAACAGACAGATAAACCAACAAGATTGTATAAAAAAATAAAGTTTGCAAAATACTGGCTTCTGATCTTTATCCTTGAAGTCCTAATGACATACACTAAGTAAAATAATTTAAAGTGAAGGAGATGATAAAAAAGGCTTTGATGGCCTCAGACTTCTAGGATTTCCTTCTAATTCAGGTGTTGTACTCCTGAAGGAGAGAGTAATTAATAATTTATTTTCTTCAAGTTTGTGTCTAGCTGATATAAAACTAACTGTTCTGTGCTAGACAGTAAAGCTAATCACCAGAAAATAGTTTCACTAGGGTTAGGATTAGATCAGGACTACCTCTGCTTACTCGAAATTTTGGAAGCACAAAAAGAACTGGTTATGAGGCACCTCTTCAGCATTCATATCCACTTTTTTATGGCCTACATGTAATCAATGACCTCCTTAATAATTTATTATAATACTTTGATTTCTATCTGCAGTAGACAGCAAAAGTCAGCATGCATGCCAACTTCAATTTAAGAAAATACATTTTGCTTTTTCATATACATTGCAGGTGGGACTCCAAGTATTGCAGGTGTTGGAATGTGCTGCTGCCAATGTTGACAAAATATCAGTGAAAAAAATAATCTGTTCTTATTACTTGCCTATTTTACTGATTCTCGTACTTTGAGCTAGTGTAGTCTGTTGTGTGTGTGCTAACTGCAGTGAAAGATTTTGAAAGCCTGGGGGGAGGCGGGCCGATGGGTCTGAATCCAAAGATTTGTGTATCCCAGCAGGTATGTCTGTTAAGGGGGTAGCACAGAGTGAAATGAAATATAAAACACATTACATTGTAGTTTTAGTTTGCGTGACTGTTACAAGGTGAAGTCTTATTATGCAACTTCACTCAGTTCCTCTGTTCTAATAAATAAGCAAATAAGTGGTCTGATCTAAAACAGTTTTGATGATCTGTATCTAGAGTTACAGTTGTTCTGCCCTCTGCCTGCATCACCTCTGTATTTTACATCTGTATGACTTGAGCAGCAGGGTTATTAAAACAACCTATAGAAATTGTCATTCAGTGGGGATGTGATCTATGTTTCCCTAGTAGCAGACAGAACTGTTGAATAGCTCCTTGTCTCATTTGAGAAATGAAATAGAAAAGAGTGTGATTTTAGTGCTGAGACTGAGGGTGGCCTGGAAGACTTTTGTTACTTAACTTCCAAATAAGGTTTGAAACTACTGTGTTAGGAAGCATGGATTTTTGGTTTCTGACTCAAATTAGACAGTATCACTGTGGGCTATTATAACTTTGTAAAATTGCCATGTTTCATTGCAGCTGTGAGGCTGCTAACTGCAGCCATAACTTACTTAAAAGTTCCTTTCTGTTACTTGGCATGTGGAATCAGTGGTGGCTGCTTAATTGATGAGGGCACCTCTCACAAGTGTTTTAAAATTACCTAAAATTTGAAAATTCAAGCCTTTATTGTGCTGCTACTGTCATGGCATGTATCCATCTAATGTATTGTCATGACATATACTATTTTGAGGCTGGCTGTGGCTTGAATATGAGAGAGCTAGTTTTGAGTAAGTTGGAAATCTGAGTCTTGTAAATAGCTGAATCCTCAGGCTATGCTTAAAAATCTTTTGATTGTATATGAAACTCTAAATTGCTGTATTTTTTAATAGAACGAGTTCATTGTGGGCGTCACTGAATTCTTGTATTCTATGTTTTACAGCACCTTTGATTTACTTAAGAGTTTTTGTTATTCCTCATTCTAAGTAGAGAAGGTTCTGTTAAAACCATATCTAAGTTTCAACATAAAGGTTGAGACTGTGCAGTTGTCTCTTGTTCACTCTCTGTTACAAAACTGTATAAAATGCTTGATTTTTTTTGTTCCAGACTTAATATGCAGGAAGCAAATTGCTCAAGTCAGGGTTCTAAAAATGTTAATCCATAATGGAAGAAAAAAATAAGTCATGGGTGCAAGAGAAAGAAAGGTAGGGGTGACCACAAGTCTGATCTCTCTTGGAGCTGAGGTTTGTATGTTCCTTTTTAGTTTATGATTCCTCCAACTATTTCTCCCTGTCTGCTCAAAGTATGTACACATATTCAGGTGGCTGGGCAAGCTCTCCAGCCCAGACCTGAGAGAACCAGGAAACCTAGAAGTAGATTGGTCAACAGCAAGAAATATTTATATTCACAGAGTTTATGTGAATGAACAGATGTCAGGGGTCTACCTATAAGTAAGGATAGGTCTTGTCAGGTGTGTCTCTGCACTCTAGTGATCTACCATTCTGTATCAGATTATGTTTAAAAGCATTATTTAATGTCTTCAGAAACGCTGTGTGTGTTTAAAAAACAATGAGAATAAAAAGAAAAAAGATCATTTTAATGAAATGCACTTAATTTATAGTAACTTACAGCGATTATGAATGAAAACAAGTATTGCCAATGTTATTCCAAAGTTGTGGTTTAGGTTTTGAAATGTTTTTAAATTACCATAATTTAAATTTTAAAACAATTTTACTTTGACAGATGCTGAAAGAGTAACTGGAGATTTGGGATAAGAAGGTGACACTGACCTATATAAAATGGGACATTGTAATAAAAGATTACTTTTTGAAATAGGGGGGGAGGATTCCAAATCAATAGCTGTAGTCCTTCCGATGCCAAATGAAGTTAGTTGAGCCTTTTGCATTTACAGATGTAAGTGGATTTCTATATATTAGAGTCTTAATTCAACATCTCTTTAAAAATATCTGTGGTAACTGTTGGCAAAAGACCAGATATTGAATAATAGTGGGGTGTGGATTCAGATGAGAAAATAGCCACTGGGATGGGGGATTTCATTGTATGTTAGGAGCAAGAAAAGAGGAAAAAAAACCATTTTCTTATATAGTTAGTTCTGTTTGAACACATCAGCATAATTCACATGTATATAGTGGTTCTAATAAATATTTTCCTTGTTTGTGAATGTTTAGATTGTGATTCATTGACTGGTTTTGGTATTCATGTTCTGTGTCAGAAATTATCCTATTTCAAGAAATCTTTGCAAGTATGCTGTTTAAAGAGTACAACAATTCGATTTTAGCTATGGGAGTACAGGTTTGGTAGTGTGATGAATTAAATACTTTGAATCATCTGGTATGTTAAGGAATACCAAAAGCCAGTTATAAAGGTTTGTAAGTGCCCTCAGAGGGACATTCCTCCCTTTTCAGGGAACCTTTTATTTTGAGAATTGTGTTGCTTTGCAATCTCATTGCTCAGAAACCTGTAAACTAACTTCCAGTTTAGTGCTTGAATGGAAGAATTTGTCTTTTAAGCTATATTTAAGCATTTATTTCACCCAGCAGGTGAATGTTCATTCAAGAGATGAACTTCTGAACACAGGCTCTTTCCATCCTCAAATTTTCCCTTATGTCTTTTTGAGAAGACTCTAGAATGGGTTTCTGTAGAACTATCGTATCAGTCATCAAATAAGTAGCAGTAAACAAGGATTGATTTGTCACGACTATTGCAGTCTTGAAACAATCCTGTTCTGTTTTCATAACCTATTAATTTTTCATGTTTCAAAGCTTGACCTACCATAATTATCTAATTGTATTGTGTGTTGTTATCATTGGATGTAAGATTCCATATTTTAAGTCAAGGCACCAAGAACTTAAATCATCTACTAGAAGAAGCTTCCAAAAATGCTTATTGGTGGTGATGGTTTTTAAAAGGTTGCTGTTGTTTGAACTTGTGTTTTGGCAACTGTAATTTCAGTTTTGAAAAACAACTAGATTTTTCTTAGTTGAGTGCGATACTAGCATCTGTTTGAACTAACTTTAATAAATCTTTTTATCTGTAACTTTTGTGGGGGTTCCTTAAGTGTCATAGATGAGAGAAAATTATAAGCTTTTGTGGAATTTTGAATATTGTAATGGAGGGAGTTTGTATCTAGTGATGTCAAATAAGCTCAAAATAAATCTAGTTTGTGTAAAACAAACAAATAAAACCAAACAGCATGACTTAGAAATTCTGTTACTCTTATCTTTGTTTTGAAGGAGTATCCTTTCAGTTGTTTCAAATAGTAATTTCTACACTCTAGCTTAGGGCTGAAAGCAAGAATGTGTTTCTTGCCTTTATTTTTTCTCCCCTATTTGGATTATGCATCAAAATGAAGTCCATTTAAATTAAAGTAATGTTAGTGTATTACACAAGGTTTCTAAGAGTATAGCCTTCCTAAAGTGGTAGGGTGAGAGAATATGGCTTTAATACAGGAAAATACAAAACTTACTGGGTGTTCTTTAGTCTATAGTTAAAATGATTAATTTTACATGTAATGAGCAGCAAGGATGAGAGGTATAAGCCCCTGTGTAAATACTACTCTTGAATGTTGGAATCTAAACTTTGTTTAGAAATGGCGGAATTGTAGCTCAACGCATAAAAGAGAATGGGTTATTTATTGCTGTTTTCCCTGTTTGTGTGTTTCAGGGGTCCATTCAGCGTTGTACGGCGATGTATCAACAGGGAAACAGGGCAACAGTTTGCTGTAAAGATTGTCGATGTAGCAAAATTCACTTCAAGTCCTGGATTAAGCACAGAAGGTAAGAAAGAACAATTAAGCAAATTCTAAGCAGCCAGGTTTTTTGACTTGTCAACCTTTTCTGTGTTTGCTTGCTTTGTAAGATCCTTTCTGGTTTATATTTTGTAGAAGTTTTAAAGCATGGTCTTATATCTCACATTTAACTTGATTTAGTGCATACATTTCTAATCTTTAGTAGTTTCTATGGCTATTTGGCTGTAATATGTACTAGAAAGAATAGTAGGTCTACACTAACTCTAAGCCATTGCTATTTCTGTTTGGATATTCTTTTTTTTAAGTGGATTTCTTGAAGAAAAAAACTAATTCAGAATCAAAAAAGCATACAAAGGAAGTAAAGTAAGAACACATCACTTTTGTTTTTACTAGTCTAGATTTAGCAAGTAATTATCTATAAAATGGGTGAAAACTTGCAATTTAAGTGTGTAAAATTATGTAAAGAACTGTATAAATTTTTCATATAGTCAGGATTTTAAAACACACTGCTGAAGTGCTACAATGTAAATAAAAGGCTGTAACTTTTAACATTTCCTATTTAAGGGTAAAACAATATTTCTTTTCTAAGTTGAATATGCAACTTGCCTATGCATAAAGTGCTTCTTTTACGCTATATGAAAACAAGCATGGTGACTGAGTGACAATCACTATGTATTCCATGTCCAGTATATTTTTGCTGGAGATCATATTCTTTTGTACAGTAATGTTTGCTGGGGATTCCACTTGTGCCATCTAAGTCCTTATGAAGCCAAGTTCAGCAGCAAAAAAGGGTCAATGACTTTTTTTGGTAATTATAACAAACAGTGTTAAGCCTTATTTGGTAGTTTGATTGACAAGGTAAATCTCAGATCTTGCTTCAGACTTTATCAAAGTTTTTAATTTAAATCTAATAATGTCATTTCTAGTTTCTTTTTCCTAGCCCTCTGACAAAATATAAGCCACACTTTCCATAATGTTCAGCTTGTATATACCTGCATTATGGTTTTAGCAGGTTATGCCTAAAGCATCACATTTTGAGCTAATGTATTTTTACTAAAAAGATTTGGTATCTTCTAAAGAAGTTGTAGACAGAAATAGTCTTTTTCTGAGCCTCATCTTAACTACTGATGCTAGGACACATTTCTGCCTTCAGTGGAGTACTGGTTTCCTCATTCTGTGACAGTAAAATTCAACTTTTTGGGGCCATGAAGGAATAATTGCTGCAAGGGAAAAATACTGGACAAAGGAGTAGAGACTCATCAGAGGAAAAGAGAAGCCAACAGAAATGTTCACTCAGAAATGAAGGATAGCATTTGCTACCTGGGTCTAAAGAAAAGGCTTCGGAGTATACTAAGAAATTTTGATTATTTTTTTTTTTTATTCCACTTCTGTTGTATTGATATCTTTAGAATTCAAGCTGAAAGGTGACTGAGTTACCAGATCATAAACACTTTCTGAGTTCAGTGGTTTTTTGTTTTGTTCTATGGTTTTGATTGTGGGGTGGGGTGTTTTGTTTCCTTTTGTTTGGTTGTTTTTTTGTTCTTTGTGGTATTAGTTTGGGGTTTTTTTAAGGTTTTGAATTGTTATGTGTTAGATTTGTGATAAGACACATAAGCTGTATACGTGAATGAGGAGCAAGTCCTTAATTCTACATAAGAATGTGAGCCTGTTTTTCGCAAAACTGTTTCCAACATGTATACTCTTTATTTTGTTTTTCATCTGTGGGCTTTTGGGTTTTTTCTTGGTGGGGTTTTCTTTTTTGGGGGGTCGACCTCTCCTCTGTCCAGGTTCTAGGTTTATTTTTTCAAAGATTTTATTTTTCTTATTTTTGTTTTAATTTGTGTGGCTTATTTCTGATACAGCATTCCTTAAACATGGAGAGCCATGATGGTGGTACTTGTATAAAATAAATATTAGATAATTTACACAGGAGGAAGCTGTATTTGTAAATTGTGTTTAAGTGTAAGTGGAATGGAATGGTAAGATTAGTCCTCAGGAACATTGTTTACCTCAAAGTTTTGCCCTCTGCAAGACCATTTTGGTCTTGAAGTTTATCTTTGTACAACTTTACACCTCCAGCCTTTTTCTGAAGGCACAGGAGTGGGACAGGACATTCTGCACGTGAGGCAGCTGATGACAATTCCTTCCATTAATTTTACATACATATAGGGTGTGGAGAGGTAAAGGGTCTAATATGCCTCCACTTGTGATTTTGTCCTTGAGTGCTTTCACATACGTACCCATGTGGGTTGAAATGTGTTTATGGGTAAGAACTTCTTTACATTTGTCAGCAGTGTACTCTTGTGGCAAAGGCAGCCAACTGCATAGCAGACTGTTACAAAAGTGTAGCCAGCAAGTAAAAGGAAGTGATTATTCTCTCTGTTCATCCCTTGTGAGACCATATCTGGAGCACTGTGTCCAGTCTTGGTTTCCCCAGGACAAGAAAAACAATGATATACTGGCATGAGTCCAGTAGAGATGGACTGAGAGCTGGGTTTGTCTAGCCTTAAGAAGAGAAGCTAAGGGGAAGTTTTAGTGCTGTCTTCAACTACTTAATAGAAGGGTGCAGAGCAGACGGGAGCCAAACTCTTCATATAGGCGCATAGTGAGAAGACAAGAGGCCACGCAGACAAGTTGCAACCTGGAAAATTCCAATTAGAGACGAGAAAAAAAAAATCACCCGGTGGGTGGTGAAAGTCTGCTACAGGTTGCACAAAGAGATTGTGGAGAGCACCCTCAGAGATGCTCAGAAGTGGGCTACAGGAAGGTTGCCTGACCTGCTTTGAGCAAGAGTTTGGACTAGGTGACCTCTAGAGGTTCTTTTCAACCTACGTGATTCTGTGATATTAGTATCAACAGTCTATGTGTAATCTGTGGGGCAATATAGCTTTAATACTATTTAGGGAGAAAATTTAAACTTAATAGTATTGTGCATAAAAAAGAGTTAATTTAAACCTGGTTTTGATACGCTTCAATTTAAACAGCATTAATTTAAAAGAATTTTTGATATAGTATTCCACTTTAACTTGTGAGAAAATTGAACATGGATACCTTTTAAAAGAAGGACTATTTGCTAGTCTAAACAGTTCATTTAAAAAGTTATACTGATGTTTTACATTAATGGTATCTGCCTTACCACAGTAACAAAAACAATCAAGCTTTGAAAAATTGATGCTTCTGTAGGCTAATCGGTATTTATCAATTGGTACTGTCATGAGCATTTGTGGTGTATGATAGAGAAGCCACTAGCTTTCAAGGCAAACTTTTATCTAATATAGCATTCTTTCCTTAATGCTGCTCAATACAGCGTGTATAGACACAGATACCTCAAGTGATTTTTGTCTGCTTGCATCTCTGCAATGGTTTGGTAATAGGAAAAAAAATGAATGCTATGTAATGATGCCCGACAGCTAACAAATCTAATTTAGCCTAAATTCTATTGGATTTAAGTATTAGTATTCATGGTCTTGCATATTGTGTGTCATCAATCTCTGTAGTGTTGTAATTCAACCATATTAATGAAGTATATTGACACCATGTCACTGTTCAAGTGGCTGTATGATCTATTGGATTAATGCTGGCTATTTTACATGATGACAGAGTATACTAGTTTACTACGCTTTCATATTGCAGAGATCACAAAAATTCAAAATATACATAAGAAAATGCAAAGCTTGAATATTTTTAGATATAAAGGACTATTTTGTACAGTTCAATTTAGAGGATTCATGTGGAAGAGTACTTGATGCTCTCAGAAGCTAGTTTAGTCATTAAAGTCTAATAAAAAATCAGTGTAAACAAACACATTTTCAAATACAGATCTTAGTTGCTGTATTCAGAACATTTGTATAGAAAAGTGTAAAAAGCATTTTCCTTATTTCTGGATTTGTTACAGTTCACACTATAGTGACCTTTTACCATCCATTTCTTCTGATACTCTCTTCACATCCCCTGCATTTTCTTTTCCTTTTATTTGTCTCTGTGTGGCTTGCATATCTTGCTTTTAGTTAGCTGTTCCAACACCAAATATCTATAAGTGCAAACACTATTTCTCAGGAAGAGAATGGTGATTGGTTCCTTACAACTTAGTAAAAACCAATATACATTATTTGTCTGCCTTTTCTTAATATCAAATTGTTCTCTTGTAACATGCTGAGTGTTTTTTAAAGCAATTTAAAGGGCAGCGCCCTGTGCTTACAGTGCATGTCTTTTTGAAGTTGCTATTCAAGATTAAATTAATCGTATTTTAGATTCAGTTATCTGTAATTAATTTTGATAGAAATGTCCTCACAAAAAAAGTGATTACCATTACTTCTCCAACCTCCTAATAAGCTAAACCTTATTTATTAGGCTGATATATGCATCTGCACAGGTTTGTATGCATGCAAGCCACTCTCAAGCTGAACAGATGAGCTGATAAGGAAAGTTTCAGATTTCCTTTAGATCCCCAGCTGGTTTTACAGGAAGCAGGCTGTGAAGATAGTCTGCAAAATGCTTTGATTGTGACAAAGAGCAAAACTGTAGCCAAGAAAGAAGTATTTTGAATATAGTTCTTGGACTACTTCTAGCACTGAGAGGGGCAAGACAACTGAATCAAAACTGGTGTTGCTATGGATCATTGGTCTTAGAACAAGAATTCCAAAATTACTTCATTGGGGGGAAAAAATGTGAAACTTGGCATCAGTTTGTTTTTTTCCACAAAGACAGATCTTTTCCCTGACATATTTTCAGGCTGTGATTTTCTTATAGTTGAGACCTTACTCTTGTTCTGCTTTTTTCCTTAAACAGTTTACCCTTGTTGGTTCTTTTAATTTTTTTTATTTAGACTTTCTTTTTTTTAAATCACTTTGTCAGCGCAATTCATTTGAAAGGCTTTGTTTAATTCTGAATAAAGATGTATGACAGAGTATCTTAACCTTTTGATACTGGACAGCTGTGATGAATCACAAGTTATTTATTGAAAAAAGTATCTGTGTGTAAGATTCTGTACCTCTCTCCCTGTGTTTTTTAAAGGGCTTAAGCAAAAAT